TTACTAAAACTAATATAATTTGAAAGTAGAGATATCGAAATATATAAAAAACCCAATATCTGCTGAATATATTCTAAAAATGCATAGTTTGAACATTTCAAAGTGTTGAACACCTGAATTTTTGAAAACTGTATCGAGCCACCTTAAAGCTTAGCTGTTAATGCAAGAATCCGGCGAATGTGATCATTATTATACTGCAAAATTTGATTGTGTAAAAAGTCAGGATGGCTCCCACAACTTTTGAGATATGGAAAATTTATTCGTATCAAAGTTTTTGAAGAATTATTACTTGTTAGAATAAAACAATTGTATGACTTCTTTTGAGCAACATTCTAAGAGTTGGAAATGCTTCACAAAATTGACGTCAAATGGTCCGTTGCTATGGTACGTTTCAATATGGCCGATATTTTTTTGTTTTTAACGCATTTAACAAAAACGTACCCGGTTACCCACATTTATATTTCATGAGACGTCTTCATCTCGTAAAATAGATTACCTGCATCAGTTTCAAGAAATGCGGTAGGGCCAAGAACGATTATTACTACGTAGTTTATATTACGAAAAATGTCATGTTTATTAATTTTTGAAAATATGGCTCTGCAGAATTTTTTTAAACTCATTCAAACAATCAAGAAGAAAACGATTTATGAAATAAGTGGGCTAACAGGCATTTTTTAGTCAAAAGTGCATAAAAAATATGGGCCATATTGCAATGTCATTGTTGTCATGGCAACAGTATATTGAAATGTCATTGTTGCCATGGTAACGGTACTGACGTCATTTCTGTTAATTTTTCCAACTCTTAGAGTGTTGCTCCATATATGTCATATAATTTTTGTTGATAACAAGTATAATAATTCTTCAAAAAGTCAACCTCGTTCCCAGGCTCTTGCGAGGTTGTCAAAAAGTTTGATACAAATATAATTAATAAATTTTCCATATTTAAAAAAATTGTGAGAGGGCCACCTTAAAACATCACGAGGAGCTTAAATACCAAAATTGGGCTCGCCCTCTGTGGGTACACTATATTATTACCATGTCAAATCCAGTATATTGCTTGCACAGAAAAACGACATAGCTACATGCTTAGTCTAGCGCGGTCCACTTCTCTTCATGGGGCTTCGATTTATCCTAGGAATTTAAAGTCCTTATCATATCAATCAGAAAACACTTGCCGTACATACCATGCGGTGGCGACTGTGAGAAAGAGTACTCTGGGTCATTTTAAGCGCCAACTTAATTTGCGGCGGCTGCTTGACGGCATGAATGTTTTTTTACGACCATTTAAATGCCAATATTTGCATCTCAATGATCACTTTTTGCAAGCAGTTTGCATCTCAATAGTCGTTTTATTGGAGCACTTTATACAACTGGACAAAAACTGGGTTTTTTGCTGGGAATTTCTTGCCATATACGGAGTACAAGCTCGTTTGTATTCATTAGCCATTAATCAAATTAATACTCACCCTTGAAACATTTCTCATTGAAAAATCTTGATATTTTTTTTCTACAGTAAATGCTTATGGAATGAGTGTTCGAAATTTCTAGTACAGTCTTGCAGTACAGGGGTCGACATTTACATTTTTTTTCTTCTATACAACCGGAATAGTATATTTTGAAATTTACTGGCCCATATCTGAAGAATCCAGTATTCCTTTGTTTCTGATTCACAAGCCAATATTTGCAAGAATAGCAAACAGTCTGTTGATATCAGGGTTTTGTTAATACACCAATAAGACTTTATAAAATGCACGAGACTATATCAAATGTATTGCTCTGTAGCTATATTACTTTATTAATGAAAGTTGACAGGTAAAAGGGCCCACAGTTAGGTAAAAGGGCCCACAGTAATTGGCATATGCTGTTGTGGTGACCCTGCCCTAGTTGGCAAAGCTAAATAAATAAAAAACTGAAGTTGTTTTCGACAACAAGACAATTGCATGCATGTGGAAGCAAACAAAAGCTCAACTACGAAATGAACAGTAAAATGAATGACTTCAATAACTTACAGATAGTATGAATTGATATCAACCGCATTTTTTATATCAACCGCATTGCATTTATATTTATATTTAAATCTTCCTCATTCAAGAATGCATGCATGCATGCATGCATGCATGGAGACAAACCTTACGGAATGGAATGGAACAGAACAGAACATGTTTCATATTAATCTGACACTGCAATCGACCAACGAAAAAATCCGGCGTTGGGTCGAGCGGGATTTGAACTCGCATCTTCGGATATCTAGACCGCCGCTCTACCCATTGAGCTATCGAGTCAATGGGGATTGGTAGGGAGTCTTATCCAATTTAAGTGCACGAAATATTTTCGTGACGACTTAACGCTTGTCCTAGAATTTTTCGTTGGTCGATTGCAATGTCAGATTAATATGAAACTAGTTTTTCGTATCTCTAAGGATGGTTCTGAAATAGAACAGAACATGTTCCTATACTAGAAATTTATCGCCACTGTATCACAACTAACAGTTATATTCTATTTGCAAAACAAAAAGTCATTGAACTTACTGAAAATTTCAGTTACTTCCCAAATTTGTTTGAATGTACACGAAACAATAGCTTTGCGGAGGGGAGTGACAAGGAGCGCAATACCAAAAAAATTATGCATGATACTTTTTTAATATTTTTATTGATCAACCGTATTACACCAAGTGAAAGTATTTATTTAAATGAAATAAAGTAAACGTGAGAATCGTTCACTGGCTTCTCTTTTTCTGCTCTCCATTTTTATCCGCTTTACTTCGCGTCTTGTGTTTCTTGATTGCGCGATCCCAAAGACTCTTTTCTTTATGATGGTGATGACGATGGTGACCATGGTGGTGTTTGAAATTTCTCTTGTGACGATGTGCCGCTTCTGGCTGCGAGTTATCGTGGCAATACAGACCTCCTAATTTTGAACGTGACCTCGCTGGGCAATCGTGGCATCCCTGAACATTGGAGGAATACTCGCTGATGTACCAATATTGTCCTGCAGGACAACACATATCCTCGGATGAACCAGCATGATTAACGCTGGGGCGAGGCAGATTACTAAGATCGATACTCTTTGGATTTTTGTAGCAAATGGAAAGAACGCCCCTCAGGTAAAACGGTGCTTGCGAGCTAGGTTTCGGCATCGGTAAATCCCTGGGGAGTATAAATTGTATCAACCAATTGCTGTGAAGTGGCGGTGCAATTTCGTCTTCGGATATGACTCCCTGTGATGCTACGCAAACGTCCGAAGGTTTAGGTGGGCAAAGCTCTGGATATGGACTCTCGTCGAAACCATTCACGCATTTTCTTTTGTTTTCAGCGTAGACAAGGTTGAACACTTTTGGTGTAGAAAATCCATACTTGACACTACCACCGGGGGCGACGCTCATCAAACCATCTTGTTTGACTTTTACTGTGATGTCTTGTCGTGCGTTATTTGTCAGGTCTGGAAGGAATATTTCAAAGCGGTTCACATATAATGCCACATCCTGGTGTGATGGCACGGAAAAGCTGACATATCTCTGTATCCACGACAGTGACGTGCCGTGTGGTATTTTGAAAGGGGTCAGTTCTCCGGCGTAAATCTTTGTGAGATCTAATACTCCTGGTTCCAAAGCATCATTGTCTGGATTTAATCTGGCTGGAAAACGAACATAAAATTCACTTGTCTGGTCGGATGGACATTCGTTAACTGTGTGCCCAATAACACGGTCAATATCAGGGAACATTTGACTCTCCAGTGCTCTGTTGCATCTGCTGGTCGGAACACCACCATTTTTGTATTCATCAACGTTACACACTTCCTTTAAAGCCAGCAAGATGTGATGTTTCGATTGAAGCTTAATGCGATAAGTGTACAATTTGAGAAGTAGACGATACACTTCTGGATTGCCTTCTTCTTCTGGTACAGTTCTGACGGTGTTTGCACTGTGTTTGGTGATAAGTGCTCGAACCGCTATGGCCATGGATTCCATGAAATCGTACTGGAAGTCGTACATTTCTTGGTAGACTGCCTCGAGAATATCGGCATTCGCTTTGATGTTCAGGCAAACCATCTTGCTTGCGCCAACTATTTGAACCACAGCGGAAGCTGCAGTACCACCAGCGTATAAGATATCACATAACTCTTCAATCACCCCTTTCAGTAACACCGTATACTCTGCTATGTCACCGTTAGTCCATCCTGGATCGTAACCTTGATAATCAATGAGAAAGTTACTTTGCACAGTATCAATATCAATAGATTCCTTATCTTTCAATCCGTGAAACGTGACATTCAATTTGTCGTGAACTTTCGAGTTAGCAGCTAAGGCTCGTGAAAGGTGGTTAGCTTTGTCTGTTATTTTGGGGAATACTTGCTCGTGTAAGGCGATCAACTTAGCCGTGTCCACTCCAGCTTTAGCAAGAGCGTTTGCTTGGTCAAGTACTTCTTGAACCCCGCCTCCACCAGTAAGCCATGCGATCGGATTCATATTTTCAGCAAGAGCTGCTGCTAGTTGGGTGGTAAGTTGTGCCATTTCAGCCGTATTGGAACCTATCGCGTAATAGAGAAGATTCTTTAAATCATCCTTTATTTTCGTGTTTTTTATCCTCTCAGAAAAATCATTGATCTTGTCTTGTAAGAATCCGACATCGTACTCCGCTTTGTCTTGATCAAACGTTGCCAGTTGATAAAAATGATTTCCAAGCGAGCTTCTCATGTTAAAAATAGACTGTTCTAGCTGTTCCTGGCCAACGTCAAGCGCCGCAATATCTGTCTGAATAGAACGCATTGTACTAAGTTCAAGGATTTTTTTGTAGTCTGAGGATGGATTGAGGATCTTTATGGTTGGCGTCTCTTCTAGGGTGATGGCGTAGACCTGTACATCACGTAGGATATCATAAAGATTGCAAAACTTGACAGGTTTGTTTAGGTTACTTGACCTACAAATGCTGTTCTGGTAATATTTCACAGCATTCCCAAGTTTTACTAGCAAATCAGTGTGTTCCATATCGTATGAAAGAGCGTCCAAAAATGAATCATAGTGCTGGAAGGATTCTAGCTGAAAGTCTGGATGTAGGAACCAAAGTAGAGCTGTGCGTGCTAACGAATGGATTTCAGATATATCTGCGTTATCAACGAGAGCTGTTTCCATGTCACTGAGGATGGCAATGAATGTGCTGAAACATGTCAGGAAATCGTTTTCCGTTTTTGGATGCATCTTCTTGCGTGCCGTCATTGTGTTGTATTTGCTTTTCGGATGTTCCGCGTAATGGAATGGAGTTTGGGCAAACCCGCTCCATTGCACGTCTCTGGCTGCATATCCTCGGCTGAAATAATTGAAGACATAGTCGTAGATAAATGTCCGCATCATCTCCAGGTCATTTCCACGTGTGGAAGACAGCTTAGTGATCTCATCCAACCGAGCTACAGCCGATATTGCATGGGGTTTTAAAACGTTTGCCGAAAATTCCAAGCGAAACGCGTCATCGCAGATATTTGAGAGGCCGGGTGCTAGGAACCAGAAGGAAGCAAACAGTTTCATTTCTTCCGATGAACCTGCGCGTTTATAGTCGTCTACCATGGTATCAAGGTCATGTACAGTAGCTGGCAGGTTGCAGAATACCTGGTTTTCGTATGGTGGTTGGCAAGCTGTATCCGCTATCGGGAACATACCTTCCATGATCATTGTCATCCAAGCCACATCTGTTTCAAAATTCTCACTCGAATGAACCAAAGGGCAAAGTTGATGGAGTGGCGATTTTTCAAGGTTTTGCACGTACATTGTAAATTGAGGTAAGCTCATAAAAATGCTGTATGCAAGCATGGCTGATTCCAGCTTATCTTGGATCGCATTTTGACTAATCGACTTCATCGCATCAACCAAGAAATGATCAAGTGCCCGCACAGTTTCAACGTTGTAACAACGATATGGCCACTTTCGTTCAGCTGCCCATCGATTCTCGTCGGCTTGTACAAGATGAAAGAACCATCTTGTAGTTGAATCAGATGGTGGGTTTCCTCCAGTTTCTCTTAAATGTTTGTCGAGAAAGAAAAAAAGTCGTCCAAGCATTTCATGTGCATTGACTTCTGCTAACGTTGTGGCATGTTCCGCTGGCGGGCTTTCACTTTGGGCTTGTCTCTAAACGGGATGGGAAAAAAAACACAATAACAAAGTGAAGAAGATGTTATACGGTACAGATTCTCATAGGCATACGGAAGGGAAAAATTATGGGGGGGGGGGGGGGGG